ACAATAATTGTTCACGACACTTTTCTCGAGCTCTTTTAATTAAAGATCTATTAATTATGTACTCACTAGTATAGACATCAAACGATTCAGCTGCAGCTATAAGTAAATACACGGCATCTCGGTCACTTACTTTGCATTTATCTAATGCTCCCGATAAACGGTGGTTTATGATTTCCTTTCTTGCTCGCTTGATTGTTGATGGGCCAGGACGTTCAAGATTTATAATTTCATCTTTATCAATGAAGTTTTCATCGGATGTATAGTCCATAAACATAACTGTAGTATAAAAAATTATTAAAAACATTGTTTTTGAAAGTAATAATTTAAAATTATTAATTTACATTAATTTTAAAAATATAATTATAAAATAAAATAATTATATAAACTACCTATTGATTTCGATGCAATTTCGTGTTTTTCTTTCTGTTTAGCTTATTGTTTTTCTAAAGACAATTTTCGAAATTCAAGACCGGTTAATATTGAATCTTTACTCATCATGCATCCATGACGTCCTTTTTCACGTTGTTATATTAAAAATAGTTTATCTTGGTGAATTTTTATAATATTTAAAGCATTACTATGCGCAATGTCAAATAAGTCATTGAAATTGTCTTTAAACGTATTCATAATTTTTTTTTTTTGTGTATCAGTATTTCTATTTTTATTTTATCTAATTTTCTCCATTCGTCATAGTTTTTTTTAATTTTTGTTACGCAATTTGATCAACCTTGAATTGATATACGCGCTTTTCTTCAAAAAATTTGACATTTATCAAACACAAGACTAGCGCTATCGTGTAATATTTAAATGTAATATTAAATTGTAATGTTATTATTATATTTTGTCTAAACGCATAGGTATTATAAAATAAAACGCTCAAAATATCTCTTTTTAATGGAAGCTTACTACCAGTTATTTGATTTTTCATAACACCAACCAAGAAAATGAATTGTCTTTACATAATTGAATATGTAAATTAAAACTTATACTTTATATAGGAACAATATTATACAATATTTTACAATGAACACTACTACAATCACAATTTGTTTAACCACATCGCTGTACACTCAGTGAATAACAGAAAATTAAACATGTTGGCTTATTTAATTTTGGCGATAGGTATTTAATGACACCAATATTGATAATGATAAAGTATAGTGGTCATAAATAGTTTTCAACACATGGTTATCGCCAAACTAATATTCTTATTACTGAAAAATCATGATAAATTTAATATATCTTCTACGTATTTGATTAAAATTATCATTTCCATAATTATTATTTTATATAATCAAAATATTACTACAATACAATGGTTACTCCACTGAAAATTTAACAATCACCTTCTTCAGATATTAAATTTTAATCGATTTTTATGTAAGAAATGTTATCGTATTTTTAATATTTTATCAAACACTTGAATAAATATAAAAAATCTATTTTGCAAAATAAATAAAATATTTTGTATTTTACTATTTTTGTGAAAAACATGATGTGCTCAAATCTAAGCCACAGACAGACATCGTTTGACCTTGAGACTTATTGATAGTCATTGCAAATGCCAATCTAATTGGAAATTGAAGACATTTAAATTGATTTGGCACATATGTGGGTATAATAGGGATCCGCGGTGATAATATATTTTCACATTGGAATTTTCCATTCAAAATTATGGCTTCGATAACATTTTTCATTGATTTTTTAACGACTTATCGCGTGCCTTTGTACAACCGTGGTGGATCAAATTACGAAGCAAAATAACTGGTGATCAAACCTTCAATTGTAAATTATGCGGTGGCATGCCTGGTAAATCCAGTGAGTTTAAAAACTCTATTGGATAATTTGCAGCTTCAATAGCATCGCAAACTGTATCAATAGATTTGTATGACACCAAGTCTCCTGGTAACAAATTTTGTATCTTGAAATTCAATTCGTTGACGTCCACATTTTTTGCTGCTAAAATTGCTATTTTGCCAACCACTCATGATTAGTGTATTGTCTGTATACATTGGGAAATATCTGGTCAATGAGAGCATCTGCGAATCAATGGTTGTGCAGAAATCGGTTGGTAATTTTATACATCCAGTTTCATCTGTAGTAACTTTCCCATCCCCGATATCTAACAATTGTTTTGAGAATGTTTCAGCGGATGGATCATGAAGCATTTGAACGCGCATATTTACTTTCAGTTGTACTTTTTCAACATTACGTCATAGTGGCGATGATTTTAAGTACGCATTGATCCTATCAGCTTATGTTGAAAGCGGAAAAATGGGAAGTGTTTGTCTGAAATTACCTGAAAGGAGTAACAGAGTGCCGCCAAATAATTTTTCATTGTTTTTTATATTTTTCAATGTCATGTTCATCACGAATGTTTGTGTGCCATAGTTCATTCATCCCAGAATACACTGTTTCAGCACTGTGGCCATAGACGACTATTGTTTTATGTTGCACACTACGTCTAGGTTATTTTGAGTATGTAGTTGCAATTTAAATACTAAATGAGCTATTCTGCTCCATCCAATAAAGTTGTCGCAACGCCAGATGATACAACAGCCAATGCTATGCCTTTATTCGACCTATTTCGGCGAGAATGATCAAAATAAGGAATGTTTTGTCAGTTCCACCTGGTGCATTCAAAAAAAAAATAATCCACCTTGTCCTGCCGAAACTGCAAGCATGATGCAGTCGTAAATGGTTCTTTGTTCTTCATTCATTAGTGGAACGTTGCGAGCAACAATCGCTGCCATTTTCACAATATTGTATGGTAGTACACGATTCAATTCAGTGTTTATTAAATTAGATGCATTTTCGATTTGGTGAATGCATACCGAAATTACTGAGTGGTAAGTTGGCAATGATAGTGCAAAGATTCTCAATAGCAATCAATGCTTCGTTATACATAGCGTCACTGAATACTATCGTTAGATCGTTGCACCGTGTTGATGCAATATATCATCAGTCATTGAATCTTTATGATTATCCCATAATGTCTCTGCTCTTGTTGAGAAATATGTAGTCAACACTATTTTTATCTGAACACACGTACTGTGATGTCATGATGATGTATTGCATTTTTGGCAGGCAATAGTAAAGATGTAATCTCCAGCCATTTTGGATTACATGTGAACGTGATAAACAAACACGGCCGTCCATATTCATGCACGTAAGTTAGAGAATCTTGTATATATTCTTGTATATGACGTGACTATCTATGTATGATTATGGTAGAATGATAGGGTTTCCAATTTGAGGGGTGTCGGCGTTGTTAACAATAGCGTCTCGCAGGTGAATATATTCTTCCACATGCAGATTTTTTTGATAAAATCGCAAATATCGTAATCATTCGATCTCTATCTTTACATATATGTCGACCATGAATTGTTGACAAAGCTCAAGACATCGTAGAATAATGTTGTCCTGAACGAGTCTAATCATCAATTGATGTGCATAATAATCCTTTGAACTATTATTCTTCTTTGTTTTGGCACCTATTGCGAGATCTCGTTGTTTAATATTTGTGCAACACCCGTCCTATCCCTTCTTATAGCACTTAGAAGTATAAAAAATAGATTAAAACTTATTTGCAAACCTACCAAATTTATACACAAAATTTCATTAAAATTAGTCAAGCCGTTTTGGAGGAGTATGGTAACAAACACTAAGACATGAGAATTTTATATATTAGATATATATATAGATTAAATATATTAAATTACATGTTAATTAATTTACATGATTGTTGATGGAGGGAGACACTTAGATTCTAAACCTTACTATCTAAAAGTATGTAGGAACAAACAAAGAAAATAAAAAAAAAAAATTTTCAATCTACGCATTGTTCAACTTAATGTAAGAGAAAGTGCAAGCTTGTAATAAAAGAAGCGTTAATATTTTGAGAAAAAATACGAATCCCAACTAAAACCGAAAAAAATTGTATAAATTAATTAGAAATATTAATTTATTAATAATATATAGAAATAGAGAAATATTAATACATTAGTATAACGAATTGAGAATTATAAAAACACGCAAGAAGAACCAAAGCAAGCCAAAAGATAAAAAAAAACAAACATTTACGACAAATCAATATAATATCATTAATATAGCACACACAGATTCATTGAATATCATAAAAACAGAAGGAGATAAGCAGTAGGTTTCTACTCAGTAAAGCCCTCTTAAACTGGTATCCTTCATCCTTTTCTAGTTGGTGCAGTACACGCAAAGCCTGATAAGGCGATGAGGCTATACCATAGGTAATATTCGTCAAAGTATATTCCTCCAATGGCTTTTAAGGATCATCTCAACATAATATATGCTGATGATCGCAATGTGATGGGTGAATGTTAATTTGGTGATACATTTTACATATATCGGATGTAAACATGTATCTATTCAAACGACAACAAAGTAGAATATTCATGATATCGCATTGTAATTTTAGACCGACAAGGAGAGTATCATTCAAAGAAACCCCTGAAGAAGTGCGAGCCAAAGCGTCGAAACAACTCGTAATTTTATTTCATCCCTTTAAATACTTTATAAATGCCTGATGAGGAATCACATATTTCGCTGGTGTAGTTGCAACCTTAATGTGCCCAAGTGATTAATATAAGTGGTTATTAAAGTTCTTTATATTTTAACATTTGTATAGTTTTCAGTTTTTTTCTAACTATAAAAATTATTAAAATAAATTATCAAAAAAAATAAAATAAAATCGTCACATTAATAATGTTCTTTTCTTTATAAAAAAAAAAAATAAAAGAAGTCTATCGTTAATTTGCTCTGAATAGTTTTTCTGTGTAATATGGGTTTTGTGTTTAAAAATCGTAAAAACAAGATTATTTTATTTAAAAATCCACGGATGCGACCATGATCAAGCTCCCTACTGTACCCCGTATGCAGGTTACACCGAGGATACACTTTTAAGTACTGTGTACCACCCACCCCTTCCATAAACGTTTCATAAATCAATATAATATATTTATTTTTACCGATTTCGTGCGGAAATTCTTCGCATGCTATGGCGATCGATATGGATATTCCGGCGGTTACGTTTTCCGAGAACGCAACACCGATTGACATTCCATCGATGATGTTATGTAGACTGTCGCCGAATAATACTAACAGAGCCAACGTCGATAACGGACTAGTTTCGTTCTAAACCCAGACAAACATAAAAGTGCTAAGGTAAGGCTATATATTTAACGAAGATTAACTAAGTACTATAAGCTATCTGCTCGTACAATGGATTTGTTGTTCGTCGATTTGAAATTGTGACTGTGACCGTGCGATATCTGCTTTAGCTCATTCGTATTGCCGATGGCCATCTGCAGGGACGGCGACAGTTCATCGATGCTGATCTGTATAAAAATAATGCGTATTACTTATTTGTAGAAAAAATGGTGTACGTATATTATCGAGGATGGAAGACCTTTTTCTTCTCTTCATTGTAGAACACGATGCCCGCCAATGTTTCAAGGTTGTACAAGCCCCACAAGCTCAACCACATTATCAGAGCCGTGTAATTGTAATCAGGAAACGCCTCTGGTATTTTGAATGCCTGAAGGAACATTTTTTTTAACGTGAAAAAAAAAGGTAATTCCAATAATTTTGCTCAATAATCATAAGTTATCATATATTACTTAAGTGCTATCGTGTTATCCGCAAAAGAAAAATACAAAACTAATCAATTATAATAATATTAACATCCCAGCCCATATATATTCTCAGTTGATATACTGAACTTCAGGCGCAAATACAAGGGGGGGGCAATAAAGGGGCTGCAACTTCCCCTCTTAAACATTAAGTAGAAGCATATCGGACACAATTACTTAAAATATATAAAAAATTAGACGTTAAAAAGACTTTGTATAAATCGACATGCGCAACGCATTATGGCAATAACTCACTTTACTAGTCCTTATTTTCATTTTTAGATCCGCCCTGCTGAACTCGTATCACAAAATAAAAATATAAATATAAATTTTACTTGTATGATTTAAATAGCATTTGAAAATTATTAGATCTATTCTTTTTAAATATTTGTGATAGATCGATTCGGACGTTACTACATTAAACTAAATACGAATGTCGATTTAACCGATACACGAACTAATATTTTAATTTGATTTCTCGAAATAACGTAATTTGCACCGTTATTAACGAGCAATGCCATTTATTTAATTTATTTAGAGTTAAACTTTGGTATTTCAGTATCTGACGTAGTCAGGTGCAAATGTAGAGAGGTTAGAGATTCAAGCACTAACTCAAAATATCAGAAAAAAATGACATAACCAACAAATTTAATAGTTATTCCAAAGTTTCCTAAAAGACTTGTAAATAAAATATATAAATATACATATGTCAATATATATAGTGATCGATGAGGTGGGATTCTGATATGAGGGCTATATTATTTCTCTTTTCGCGTAGTATGGCTGTTTGTTCGTTTATATGGTTGAGAATTTCGTTAAGATTCCATTAAAGGACAGGAGTGAAATGGTATTATAATTATTTATCATTATTGTTTTTGAGTAATTGTTTGATGACTTGTAAGTAGCGATAATAATGGATAAAAGTACAACTTAAATAAAACATTTTTTACATTTTGAAAACATAAAATGTTTAATCTTTGTCCGCAAATATGGTTAAATAATGATTTACAGTCGATTATTTTAATTAGTTAAATTTGATTATGGCTACTATTTTATTGATAATTACCCTTTTAAATTAAATTTTGATGTAATATAAATGTGTAAAGAACACTTTAAACACAAGATCTATGCAAACTATGTATACAATTCTCTAGAAAAGAATTTCCACATTTTTTTAATTATCAACACAAAAATATTTTTAACTAAAATGTCTTATTTATAAATAAGAGACTTTATTACTTTATTACTTACTTTCATGTTATTACAAATTTTAAGAAAATTTATAATTGTTCAAATACCTACATTTAGTTTAGTTATGATTAAACACTATTCTAATTTAAAGAAATTAAGGTTTTTATCAATATTAAGAGAACACGTACTTCTGGAAGGAGTTGGAATACAGCTGAACTCGATAAAGAACCTGCGGCTAGACCCAAGAGTAATTTCATGACGATTTTTTTCTTATTTGGATCGTTGAGTAATGGCCAAAATAGTCCACCCACCAATCCTGATAAACTTATAATGCTTACGGATATTAAACCTCCGATCCAAGCTAAAAGTTAAGTAGAATCTCAGAGAACATATATAAAATAATGTAAATGGCTCATATTTGGGTACTAACCTTCAACATTAGTAGACTTATTGAGTTTTGGTTTTAATTCTGGAAAATCTGTTGTCATCGTTCTAATTGGATAATTTTCTTCATAGCTAATGAACTCAATTATACATTTATTTGGTTTCGTGGCATTTGTACACTATAAACAAAAAACATAAAAATTATGTACTAGTTTAATTAGTAAAAAAATGTATCTCATAAATTATGAATTGGTAAAGTAATTTGTTGGTCCGTCCAGAATGGTCCAAATGTTATATGCGGCTAAACAGCCACACACGCGTACAGATATATATATAAGACATACACGGCTAAACAGCCGCACACGCGTACACTGCGATAAAATACAAAACGAAAATTAACGGCCGACGCGATTACATATAGCCAAAACCTCCAATGTTCGTACGCGCGTGGACACACGTTGAACGACGAGTGAAGGTTGACTGGTGAACGCATTTAAAGGCGTATATCCGATCAGGCATGCGCACAAACACGGCACGTTGAATCTTGATATAGCCGGCCGACTTCGAGGAGTCGTTATCATTAGGATTTTCCGTATATATTGAACACTTGTACTTGTTCCGATTTTATATTTCCTATTCTTACTTTAACATGTGTTTCCATAATACTTGACTTGATCATATTTATAAGTTTGTGTGGGAAGTGAAACTCTACCAAAGTACTAATCAGACTTTTTCGGTGTAGGCTATCATATGCTTTTTGGAAATCGATAAAAAGTATGCGCATTTCCTTATTGAACTCCCATGTTTTTTGTAAAAGTTGTCTGACAATGAATATTTGATAATTTGTCAATCTACCTGACCTAAAACCGCCTTGATATTCTCCAATTACATTTTTAGAAGTCTCTTTCATCCTTGATAGAATGCACCTAGTAAATATTTTGTATGCTATATTAAGAGTGCTATTCCCCGGTAACTTTTTCAGTTACTTCTATCTCCCTTCTTATATATGGGACATATCATCGCCATTTTCCAGTTTTCAGGTATTTCTTCTGTTTCCCATACTTGAGTGATGATGTTCCATATTCTTTAAATTAGTTCCTCTCCTCCATTCTTTAAAAATTCTGCTACTATCTCATCCTCTCCAGGTGATTTGTGATTCTTTTAATTTTGTATCTGGTACTTGATTTCCACTTAAGACGGACTTAGGCATTTTTGATAATTTCTGGTGCTCCGGCTGGGAAGGAAAATTTTGCTTTGCTCTTAACAAATTAAAAGCTTGTTAAAGTAACTTGTCCATTTTGTGGCCAATTCTTCCTCCGTAGTTATCAATGATCCATCATCGTTTTTCAAAAATCTCTCCTTTTTCTGTAGTCTCCTTTAAGGTTTTTTACTCTTTGATGTATGTCTCTCGTTCTATTGCTTTTATATTCCATCTCTGCGCCATCAATCATTCCTTTTACGTATTTCCTCTTTTCACATCTTAAAATATTATTAATTTCACCGTCGTGACGGTGTCTATTCCTTTCCAAGGTTTCGTTATTATTTATGTCCTTAAGCCATTTCCGTCTTGCCAATTTCCTCCTCTTAATCATTTCTTCGCATAATTTGTTAAACCAGGGTTAAGATGTTGACTTCGCCTACTAAGAACTTCTATAGATGCATCATTCACAATTTCCTTTATCTGTTCCCATGTATCATTTACAGATTCATTATCACTTTGCTATCTCTTTAGAATGTTGTCTATCTTGCTCTTATATTCTTCACATATCCTTTTTTCATTAAATTTTTAATATTATAGTTATTCCTCTTTTTTGGTTTGTAGTTTTTTGTTTTCTTAAATTTTACTTTCATCCAGCATCCTACCAGTAAGTGATCAGAATCTGAATCGACTCCTCTTAATGTTCCAATAATCTTTATGCTATTCTCATAACAGTTATTTATGAGTATGTTATCTATCTGGTTTTTACAAAGCTCATTTGGTGCTATCCATGTATACTTGTGTATGTCTTTCCATGAGAACATCGTACTTTTAACAACTAGACTAAACTGATTAATAATTAATAATGCATAATAATTTTTTGTTTCACGCATTCACTTGAATTCCATTAAAATAAATAATTTATAGTATGGGGTACCTAAAATAATAATCAATAATAAAGTCGTTTCCCACTGGTCCAGGCTGGAGCCCAACCAGTTTTAGAAAAATATTATCATATTGATTTTATTCTGATAATTCACACTTGTCCAGACCGAGCCCGGGCCGGGTATCCATACGGGATCTGGGTCAAAAAATAATTGTTTTAAAAAATTCTCTATCCGGGTTCCCGGACAGATTGATGCCTATCGTGCACCCAAAGGGGATTACGACGGGTAGTGATAAAGAAGAAGAAAACAACACTTTGAAGAATATATTATAACAAGTTTAGATGACTTGGTTTATTAATTAGACAAACACACTGTAAATATGTATAAAGATATAAAGTTAAACTGTACAGGAGTCCAGTCGGTCACGACTAGTATTAACAATAACACAGTCTAGTGCCTTCTTTAACTCTGTATTAAAAGTGACTCCCAGTGGCTAGTGAGCAGGTACATTATATAGAAGCCCACTTGCATCACGTACCCTGGTACGGAAATGGCGTGATAATCTAAAATGCCTTTGATTGGTCCATGCAGTAAGCGTGATGCTGACGTATAATGGTGTGATGTGGTGTGATGACATATATAGGGCCATCTCATTACACACCGATCCAGACACGTCGTGACAAATGTGAGTGATAAACCGAGCCGTGTCCGTCTTTTGTGTTTTTCGCTCATTCGCCATTCGTCATATGTCATACAAATTTCGAAAATGCTGTTGGTCCATAATTAAATTAAAATATTTTAAATTATTATTATGGATTCAGAAAAACTCATCGAGTTAGTGCGTCGACACCTAGGATTTTATGACTACAGTGGTGGAAAGTACAGTGATGCATCCTGGAAGGATCTCAGGTGGAAAGAAATTGGTAAAGAACTTAATCAAACTGGTAAGTACTTGAAATATTATAATGATTTTACATAAATTATTAAAATTTAATAAAACAATATATTATAAACAGACTTGGGTAGTATTCCGAATACAATATTCAGAATACTTTTTAAGTATTTCGAATACTTTTTAAATACTTTTTTTGAAATTATTCCATGAAGTATTATAATCAAGACTGATGACTGAAATTAAATTGTAAGTTGTAAATAAAACAAAATTGTTAACTCGGACGAGGCCCAGACGAGTGTGAATGCCTGATCCGAGTCAACCCGGACGTGCCGTTACGTTTCACATACCAAGCCCGGATCCAGCCCGGACCAGTGGGAATGGACCTATACTCAGTATCAAAAACTGTATGTATGAGTTTATTTTTTTATTCTGATATTTTTAAACAAACTTAGCATCAAATATACACAAAATGAAATAAGAAATATAATAATACTCGTATAATTATGAATATTACAAATCCATACGTCTATTTTTCAAAGCAAATTTATTTAAAATATTTTCTGTATCAATAGTATTTGAAATATATTTTTCAATATGTAAAATGGACATATCTGTAAATCTATTCTGAATCATACTAGATCTGATACAGGTTTTTATTCTCCGCATGACGGATTGTTTTGTTTTTATTTTTGAACAATAATCTAGATGTTTTTGCCAATTTGTTGGGTTTATATTTTGCCGATTTTAACCACAAGCATACAATTTATCGGTGTTAGACTTAGACATATTTGGAGTTTGAACACCAAAACAAATTATACAATACAAGTCGTTAACAAATTAAAATATGAAAAAAAAATGAGATATGTAATTATGTAAGTACCGAGTGTAGAATGCAGATACGTTCGCTGTGTACTAGTACGACTAGTGTATGGTATGTGTGAATTGTTTGACCGGGATTTTTTTACCTTTATAACTACAATCCATAGTGTCTACGATACTGTCTTTATATATCGCACTACCAGTGCAAGAAGGCCATGTATCAAAAATATTAAATTGTTCAGGAGAGCATATCTAAAGTTTGATAATTTATAGTAATTTATAATTTTCTTCTATATCAATATGACTAACTAGACCAGACATTTTTTTATAATATTGTTATCAACAAGTATAATTTAAAGGCCCCATTGCGTATTACGGCTTTATTTTTTTCAGCTACCTCTCGATCTGTTTTAGTGCAATAAGTTTATCTGTAAAACAGACGATTTAAAAATATAATTACATAGATCGCACCACTCAAAAAATAAAAAATAAAAAAAAATTCGAATTCAGAGATACCAAAAACGTAAATTTAAAATGTTTTGATATACGACCTTCTTGCACTGATAGTGCGAATATATTATAATATTACATTCATGTATCTATCATCATTATATATCATTTATTCAATTCCGAATTTATTATCGACTGACTTCTGCGAAAACTCACCACCGCCGAAGTACCTTCTTAGTTGAAATCACAGATAATTAACACTTTATGGTTGAAATACACTATAAATGATTATAATAATTTATAAATATCTCTCTACCGTCAACTCGATTATATATATATTTAAAAATAGATCCAAATGTATTATCAAATAACATTACCAATCACTAATTGTTACTATTGTAACTGCTCTTGAACTATTATTCGTTTATCATATTATGAAACATAATAATTTTTACATTGCCGGAGACTTAAAATTAATACTATTATACACTATAACGGTTTGTAGGTTAATTTGCCCAACAAATTTTGGAGGGGCTTCAAGGAATTCTAGGGGAGCTTCAGCCTAGTTACTCCTATAAAAAAAAACACAGCTCAACATCTCATTTTCTTAAATGTTATAGTTCTTACAGTTTTGTGACCGTAATTTTCATTGATATTATTATTACTTTTCGTTTAACATTTGGTGAATAATTAATATAATGCGTGATTACGTATTTTATATTATTATTATTATAATTATTATTATTGTTATTATTATTATTATTAATATTATTATTATTATTATTATTATTATTGATGAGTTCACCATCACCCGCGACACGTGCACGCATCACCGTTATCTCACAAGCCGCGTCACGGAACCTCACTGAAACCCTAATTTAAATTCATTTTAAAACCGGAACCTCACCGTAACCTTTATTTGTATTTATTTATAAACTGGAACCTCACCAAAATCGATAATTTTTTGTAAAGATTTTTTACGGTTAGTTTTGGTATTGTAATTGCATTATATTTATTTACATCTGTCATTAATAGGTAATAAGAACTAAACAAATACATAGATCTATTATTATTATTATCAGGATTAATAATATTCAAAAATAATCATGTAAATAATTACAGACTTTAAAAGTGTCATTAAACTAATATATATATATATAGTAAACAATAGTTCTATGTAACTTCCGAGCCCTAGTAATTACTATCAATAATTTTATAAAAGCCACATAAATTGCAATTCATCGATTACAAACAAAACAAAAGTGGGGATATTCTACTTCATATTGTATTCGATAATTCAAGATTTATAACCTTATTTCATTCACTATTGAAGCAAAATAAAAAATAATAAAAAGACAGTTGGAAAACCTACTCCACACTTTATCTTACAATTATTAAAAAATGATTTAATATCATGCAGGCGTATATCCATGGGATGGGCCTAAAAGGATTTAGCTCCTCATTTGGACATGTTATATAATATGTAAATATGTAATAAATACTTTATAGGTATGTCTTTATCTGAAGATTGGTTAAAAAATTAATGAACTTGTTAATTTTTCATATTTTAGCATTTTAAAATATATTATCTGTATACATAAAACAGTAAGCTGACTGCGCAATCAACACAAAACTTATACCATTGAACAGGTCAGGCTGAA